AAGTGCTCCTGATTTGTGTTAGAAAGCAGGCAACCTGGTTAAGCTCAAGTTGGTGTGTGAATGACTCTTAGGCTCTCTTATCCTCCCAGAGGCATGTGGGGTTTTTTAAGAGAAAATACTAGGACTCCTTAGTGAAATCCAGCCAATAAAAACAAGACCTTTGTGCATCAGTTTGTATAGGGCCACTTATGAGTCAAGAGTTCAGAAGGTGGGGATATCCCGGGCACCTTCCCCCTTCAGATAAATTTAGTCCGTGACTCTGGGAAGTGAATTTCTGCTTCCTATTTTTCCATCCAGTTACATTTAACATCATTAAAATGTTGTTTTAAATCTCATGGACCAAAATGAGCTACGAGGATATTTTTTTCTCCTGAACTAAAATAGAGGATTTAAAAACCTACTTCTTCAAAAAGATTGATGACTCATTGTCCTAAGTGGAAGAAATCATGATATTATTTTATCTCTTCCCTGCCTCCTTTGAATACTAAGCTGGTTGAATTACTCTGTAGAATTAGAGCACATGTGTCGTTACTTTTCTAAGGGGAACTGGTCGTTCAAAAAAATCACACATGATGTGTATTTCATGATTTGGAGTTGATAAACAAACGTAATCTTTTTACTGAAACCCTCTTCCTTAACATACACTATTCCCCAACAAAAGAGACATATTGTAACACGTCATAATGTCAACGCCAGAAGTGTTAAGGTCATGACATTGGAAACTTTAATGGAGGAAGTGGTTCATTAAATCGGTGGTTCCCAAACTCAGGTCACCAGTCTGGCCCTGGGTAATTAAATAATCATTCTCCTCCTCCTCCTCCTCCCCCTCCTCCTCTTCATAGGTTATATTTATTGAGTATTGAGTTTACAACATTATATGAGATACTATCATCATCCTCATTTTATAGATGAATCTGAGACACAGAGAGGTTAAGTACCTTGCCCTAAGTTACCCAGGTAATAAGTAGTAAAGCCAGGATATAAACTCTGGCAGGTTCAAATTGCCTCCCTGCCCCTTCCCACCCAATTTTGACTCAGTTGAACTGAAATGGGCCCAGGAATCAATATTCAAGTCCCCAGACGATTCTGAAGCAAAGACAGGATTGGGAGCTACCACATTAAATGCATTTACTTGGCACTGGATGGCTGGTTCCTTACGGATGTCTTAGAAATAATAGCTCATATGGCTAGTCAAATGACACAAAACCCTTTCACTGATTTGTAAACAACCATGTTCGAACATTCTTCAGTGTTGTTCAGGCACCATGCTCAGGGCCTGGTGAAGTTTAGGAAACAGTGTCTAACCTGCCACCCAGATCACCAAGTTTAAAGGCACACGAGGCTGGCTCTCAGGGAGAGATCATAAAAGCCTGGTTGAAGGTACAAAGGAGGTTCGGGGGAGGGGAGTTGTGAGCGGATCTCAGAAAAAAAAAAGTTCAATTTGCAAAAGCAGGAAAGGCGGTGGGAACTATTTCTGTTAAGAAAACCAACGGCCACCAGCATTTGTAAATGGTGATCCCAGGCCAGTATCTGTGAGCCAATCTTAGGCCCATCAAGACTGGATGAAGCTGAGAGCTGTTCTGGGGAAGCTCCTGGAAATAAATTTGGACAAGGGAATTAGGACAAGATTATGGCGAACCTGAAGTGCCAGGTCAGAGTTTGGACTGAACTGGTAAACAATGGGGAGCCACTGAAAAGTTTGAAAGGACAAAGAAAGGACCATGTTGAAGGTCTGTTTAGAAAGTACCGTCGGTATTCGGTCTGGAAGGATAGAGATCAGAACCAGGAAAACCAATAAGAAGGTTAAAGAAAGGAACAACATACGTGTGGAAGACATTACAGTAAAGTAGTGGATATACGCTGATTTGGGAGTCAGGTTACGTCACTGACCAAGCTGAGTGATTTGAAGTAAACTGTCTAACATCTCTGAGCCTTAGATTTTTCTCCTTGGGAAATGGACGTGAGAGGTTATTATCTGCCTGCACAGACTGACCAAAACAAACCGAAGATTTCCCTGGGGTGGGGCGGGGGAGGGGGCGAGGCAAGCTGGGGTGGGGGGTGCAAGGTCAGTGGATCAGGATATTGAGTTCTCAGGTCTGCATGACTTAGAAAATGTTAGTGTGATCGCCAGCAATAGGGGAGGCTGTGGACCTCCACTTTATAAAGTCAGGAAAGAAATGGAACTAACAGTGAGGGTTTCAGAAATTGTGCTGGAATTATAAAGGAATTACCCTTCACTTATGAGGCAGATCTTTTTATCCTGACTTAACAGTTGCCTTGACTAGAGCAAAAGATAGTAATTTGGTAAGAATATAAACTACCATCTGCCTAAATCTGAAGTTTGGCTCTTTGAACTTCACCATATCATTTTAGACTTGTAAAGTTATATATATCTGTATCTATCTATATATCTACATCTATCTCTATCTATCTATCTATCTATCTGTCTATCTATCTATCTAAAGATGCTTATTTATTTATTTCCAGCAAGAGGGGAGGAGAGGGAGAGAAACATGAATTGGTTGCCTCTCACAGGCCCCTAACCGGGGACCTGGCCAGCAACCCAGGCCTGTGCCCTAACCAGGAATTGAACCAGCAACCATTCATTTGCTTTTGGGAGTGGCACCCAAACAACTAAGCTACACTCGTCAGGGCGTATAGTTATATTCTCTGTCTTTGGTTTGGGGCTGATAGTCTAGTTTGGAGACAATTTTGAACTTTGATTCTAACACCTAGCAAGTTAACTACCCCTCCAAACTGTGGGTCAGCTGGAAGGGGGACATCAGTTTTGCTCAGATTGGGGAGAGAGATGGAGAAAGACTGTTTGGGAGTAAAGGGCCTTGATCTGTCAGGCGGGAGACAAAGTTGTCCACTCAGGGTGGCAGTGCTGTGGAAGCGACCTGGTTGTGACGTGGCCGTAAAAACCCACGGCGTCCTCCAGACTGCTGAGAATGGCGGAGGAGCAAATGTGTGGAGAGCAGAGGACCAGAGGAAGTGAAGAAGCAGAAACCGAGGCAGTGAGAGGAGCAGACCACGGCACCGGTGGCCTAAATACTTTGTGAACAAAACAAAAAAACCAGAGCGTGAGGGAACCAACAGTGAAGGGAAAGTGGTCCCACTGGCGTCCTGTGAGAACTGCGGGAAGTCACAGTCGAGGAGACCTCACCGAGTGATGAGCCTGGAAAAGGCGGAGAAGACGGAGGTAAGTTCCCGGAAGAAAGCACGGGCTCCACAAGGGGAAGAAACGAGGATATAGAAAAAGCCATCGTCCACAGGGACACGCCTTCCATTTTTATTTTTAATCTTACCATGTGTCCACAAAAAATTGTGAAAGGCATCTAAATTTTCTTTTGGCTGGGTTATTTAGACGCACAGGGTATGAACCAAGAAGTTTAAACCCCTGCACAGAGTGAGATTACATACTTTGATGACAAGTACACAGAAATGCAATACTTCTAAACATACTTAACAAGTGTTGGCAAAAGACCACATTTTAACCTGAGGATCCACATATACCAATGGGAGAAGTCTTCTAGGAGAAATCCATGTGGCCCAGGAAACAGTATGGACTCTGGGGGTGGCCCAGGACTTCTACCCCAAGGTGGTACTAGAACCTCTGTACGGTTATGAGTTGGGAGCAAAACAGGAAATGACATTCTTCATGTCGTTTGCCCACATAGGATCACTTGAAATCCTTTCTTGCTTTTCCGTGAAATCAGCTGGTTCTCTGGTAGGCTGTGAATGAACCATGGTATCAAAGCAGGAGCCCCTCCAAATCCGTGATTTCTCCAGACTCTGTCACCATAGCTAGCCAGGAGGCTATTTGTGTTGCCAAAAATTTGTAGTTAGAGTATTTCCAGTACCCCAATGTGACAGTTAATTTCACGTGAATGCAATTAACTGCTTCAGCCTACACCTGAAAACAATACTGTCTTAGTTACACCTCATACCATCCAAATATATGTTCTTAAATTCTGTTTTTGATTCGTCTTTACAAAGATTAATGGTAAAGTGATTCGATGTCATTATTTGCAAAAATAAAATAAAATAAGCGGGGGGGGTGGAAGTGGGAGAGGGTATAAGGGGGATAAATGGGAATGGGAAAAATACAATAAAATTTTTAAGTTGATTAAAGTTGGAAGCGGGAAGCCTAGTATAGTATTATTTTAGAACCGATTTTCAGAAGACAGCAAGAGATTCAGGTAAGCTCAGGATTGCAAGTGCTGACTGCTAAGGCCTGAAGGCGTACAGGGGCTCAGGAGTGGACTGCTCGCTTCTCCGAGGTCTGCGCCTGATTTTCAGGGTTCTCGCCCACTTCTGACTGTCCTATCAGCCAGCCGGGGACACTGCTTGGTGGCTTGTCCCGGTCTGGGAGGCATGGTGATTGGTTGGGCGTACTTGTGTTCCTTGGGGGTTCAGGCTGGATATGGGGTGTGCGCGCCGCCGTGGGACAGGAGGAGCTGTAAAACCCTCTCCTTAACTGTTTGGGGGCACTTTCTTCAGAGGCTGGAGCCTTCCACTTAAAAAGGTGACCCCCTCCTCGTGGGGTCCGAAGTGGCGGGAAGCCGGCTTTTGGGAGGCGGCCCGAAGGCGAGGGAGGCTGTAAAACCTGGAGGAAGATCCGGAGCGCCCGGCCCGGGACGGCGTGGGGTTCAGGGCCCGGTCTTCAGGTAGAAATCAGCCGGGCGAGCGGCGGGGGACCCCAGGGCATGGGCGGCGGCGGCGGCGGGAGGTTTCCGGGCCCCCCACCCCAGCGCTCCGGCAGACCAGGCGATAGCCGCGGCGGTTTCCCGGCTCCCCCCGCCCCCGACGCCGCCGGAGGGGCGTTCCGACCCTCCCCCACGCGCCTCTCCCCCGCGGGAGCCGCAGCCGGTGAGGCCGGGAGGGCGGGGAGCGGCGGAGCAAAGGCGAGAGGGCGGAGGTTACGTGGTGCAGGCGGCGGCGGAGACGGGAGGAGGGCCGGCCGGCGGCGGGCGGGCGGGCAGGGAGGAGGAGGAGGAGGAGGAGGCGGGGGCCGTGTCGCACGCAGCTCCAGGCGGGGCGGCCCCGGCGGCTGAGGGACGCAGCTAGACCTTGGCGGGACGGGGATTTAACCGGGGCCCAGGCCCAGCGACCAGGCGGAGACGTCGCAGGAGCCGTTCCGGCCGCGGGGAAATGCGGGTGAGTGTGGCGGCGCTGGGGCTGAGGGGAGGCGGCGCAGGCCCGGCCCGGAGCCGCGGTGTCGCAGTGACGCGGCCCGCGGCGGCCGAGCGCAGGCGCCGGGCGAGGCCTGAGCCGCCGAGCCGCGGTCGGGCGGAATGGCGGCGGGGCCGGGGACCCGTGGGCGGAGGGCGCCGCGGGCAGGCGCGGAGCGAGCGGGGCCGGCCCTAGGTCCCCGCGGACCGGAGCTCCGGTTCGGGGCGGCCGGGCCTGGACCGCGCTCCGGGGAAAAGCCCGATTCATCGCGCCCGAGGCGGCGGCCTTGTGGGCGCCGGGCTGGGGCCGCGCAGCTGAGGCAGTTCGGCCGTGCGTGCCTCGCCTCTCGCCCCTCGTGCGGCGACCCCCACGGGGCGCGCGGCCTCGTGCCCTCCCCCCCACCCCGCCCCTCGGGGCCGCTCCTCCCCTACTCGTGTTCTCCAGTTAGCACGGGGCCCGCGGAACCAGCCGGCCGCCCCGCTCCCGAGTCCCCGCCGGCGTTGTTGAGACGGTGCAGGTCGCTATTATTGGGTAACAGTCGCCCTTTGGCGGGGTTCCCTCGGGGGAGCGGGCCGGGGAGGCGGCAGGGATGCTAGTGCGGCGGCGGGACGGGCCAGAGCCCGAGGCTTCCGCGAGTCGGGCCGGGCCTGTGCCGCGGCCTCGGCGCGCCTCGGGCCCCGCGGGAGCGCGCGCTGACCCCGCAGGCAGCCGCGCGCGGCCCCGGGGCCCCTCTCTGCCCCCTGGACGCCGCGTGCGGCGGACGCGGAGATGGTCTAGAGAGGGAGAGGCTTTAGGAGCTTTCCTTGAGACGAATCCCGCAAGTCAGGGTTTTCCCTCTGTAGCGAGCCCTCTGCCAAAAATAGGATTCTCTCTTCCGATTGGAGGGCTGCTGTCGCTTTTAGCTCATAGTTGAGGTTAGTGATAATTGTGCAAATACGGAATGGCATCAACTTAACTCGGTGTTTGTTTGTTCTGTGTGATAGCCCTTCCCGTGGTGGTATTAAAACAGCTCAAGTTAGGAGTGGGATGAATGGTCACGCAGTTTTTTGAAAAGCACTTATCGGGGTGGCAGAAGGGGAATCAAAGTCACTTGGACTTTTCAGTCCGGAGCTTCTGGGACCTAAACATACCTTAACACTCCGCAGATGTGTGTAATTTTAACACTCCATTTTGGGGCCGCCTTGATTAGCTGATATTCTGAAATCCTGGAGCGTCGTAGGGTTAGGGTTACTTTGTTTAGGGGGAAAAAAATCGGATAGGGGAGTTTTTTGTGTGTGTTTAAAAGGTTCTTGGATATTAGAAAAATACTGTGCTCAAAAGTTAGGCTTGTATCTTCTCATGGTGATCGGACAGAGTTTGCTTCTCATTTCAAGTTTGAAAGCTGCAAACACAAGACTGGCTCACTTTAACCCTGTTATACCCATTTGTGGAGGTTGCTGAATTATTTTCTAAAAATGTTAAACTGTTGTTTTTTTTTTCCTCACTGGTGTCATCTTATAAAACTATTTTGCCAAAGAGGGGAGAAAAATATCCTGTGGGGACTTTTCACCAGTTTATGAAATCACCTTTCCACAAGCTCAGGTCCCTTGCAAAGTGTACCCCACCCCCTTCCTCATGTGTCATCAAGAGAAGGAGGGACAGATGATGCCAGAGCTGATTCTGCAGTGTCCTTGCCTCTGACAGCCCCAGACTCCTTGTCTCTTACTGATGATCTTCCCCCAGTAATTAAGTTCGGCAGCGCAGCCTCCTTTCTCCTGCATTTCAGACTGTGAGTTCCTGGAAGGGAGGGGATAGTCCTTATTTATTTTTGCAGAGAACTTGGTCATGGGTCCTTCACGTGTTTCTTGAAAGGATACATCTTCTGGAATAATTCTGACCTGGTGGTTGACCGCTTCTGGTTTTGGCTGCAGAGAACAGTCGCTGCACCTACACCACATAAGGGTGCAAGTTTTACCATGACTGTTGTTACAGCCCCCCCCATATCTAATGCAGGGCCCGGACAGACAAAATGCCATGGGCAATGTAGCTGAGGCAATGCAGGAAAATGCCACGAAAACAGTTTGTGAAGCTTTTAATTTTTGGGCCTTTCAAAACTAGCTTTAAGATGGAGATTTTGTTTGTTGATTTTTGAGACAAGATTGGAGTCTTTTCGGCAGTTAAGTATGACAACCTTGCCTCTGAAATGAAATCCTTGGGTGGTCGAGGCTCTTTGCTATTGGAGAGGTGAGACAAACTCCACGGTGGTGCAGCTCTTCCAGGGGCCACCCTTGGTGGTCCTGAGGGCCTTGTGGCAGAAGTCCACTCCCAGTGTGCCCAGCGGCACGGAGTGCCTTTCTTGCAGCACAGAAAGTTCAAGTGGATGAGCTTTAAGCTGAGGGGCTGCCATTCTGCACACGAAAGAATGAGGGTCCTGCACACCTGGGAACGTTCGTGTTTGTGTTCACTCTCTGCTGTCCGGCCTCCGTGGGTCCCCACGCCTCGGTGGCTCAGGCGGGCTGGCGTAGAAGGGCTCTGGGATGTGTCTGGAGAAGAGGGCCTGCCGTTTTTAAGGACCAAGTTGAAATTTACCTTGCCTTTTTGATAGCTGGTAATTGCTCAGTAAGGAATGTTTTTTGTTTGCTTTTCAAAACTGAGAAATGGACACTAAATGAGTAAGTCAAATTTAAATAAAATCTAAGTTTATTCGGTTACTAAGGACTTGAAGCACCCTGTTTATAACATACACATTTAATGCACACTATAAAGATAATTTCAGACTTTTAACAATGTTGTGTTTTAAGTTTTTATTAGCACAGATATCTTTCTGGCTTCTGAAAAAGCTGTGTGTTATTTTTGTTTAGGCACAGAATGTTTTGCTTTGAGGAGAAGATGTGGGGTCTAGTTTGAGCTTAATTTTGCTGGGTGTTTATGTCAGCCTTTGTAAAAGGAGATGGTCTGTTTAAGATTTCTTTGTGGGCTTTGACAAGTGGATTCCGTGGCCATGTCATGGCTTTTAATAGTGGCAGTATTTGGAACACTGTCCCGTAAACCATACTCTTCCTCATGTTTGAGGGTTGTGAAGCCCAGCTCTCAATTACTCTTTGACAATTACTTAAATTTTTTCCTTGGGGGAGGAAAGTTGGCCAGAGTGAGTAGAGTACCCTCCTGAGCGGCCCCTCCAGGCTGCCACTCACTGCACTGGTCCAGGCTGTCCCAGGCTGCCCTCCGCTCTGCTTTCACTCACAACCCCTTCTGCCTGGAGTGCCTGTCTCCTTCTTGTCACTGAAGGGCTCCTCCTTTACAAAGGTTCATCTCAGTGCCCACCCCCAGCCCAGCCCAGCCCAGCCCAGCCCAGCCCAGACTAGGAGATTCCCTGGGGTCCCATGAGTCCCTGCCTGTGTCACTGTCCCAGCACTTAACCCTTTGACTGGACTCCGTGGTTTCTCCCACTACACAGCCCTCCTTTAGGTCAGGTACTGCAAGGTGCCCGTCTGTCCCTGGTGCCTTAACACACTGCTCACATCAACACTCACCTAACTCCTGCTTTGTCCATGAACACCCTCCCACTGTGACCCTTTCCCAAGCCCACAGGTGCTCTTACTGGGCCCCCCTTACAGCTCACAGGCGGAGAAGCAGGCTGTGAGTGGGTCAGGTCAGGCCCATCGGGCGGTGAGGCCTGAGCTGCAGGACACAGAGACTCTAGACACCAGCCTCCAGCCAGAGCCCCCTCAGCCCGGGGGGCACATGAAAGTGGCAGAGGAGAAAAGGTCAAAATGAAAACGCTCTGAGAATTGGTATCTGATCACGACAGAGTTCATCATGCAGAACTTGGTCGACTACCAAGAATGAGCTGCTGCTTGGTCTTCGCTGACTGGCGGACACTGAAGGGGAGAGTAACTGGGCACTGACGGGGTGAAAATGGACATTCTGAAACTCGGGGCCTGGAGTTTAGTTGGGTGGGAAGTTCGTAAAACCAGTTGAGTGTTCAGCTCTAACAAGCTGCAGTTTTTTAAAAGGCCTGTCTCAGAACTTGTTTTGGAAAACATTGTGTGGAATGTGCGTGCATAAAGTGTGTATGCATTGGTGAACACATTTTAATTTCAGGGGGGTGAACTTTGTGCTTTTAAAATATATTGCAAAAAAAATTTAAGGCCTGAAAAATAATACAAGTGATCTCAGGATGGAGAAAGCCTCGAGAAGCATCGCGCCAGGAGCAGGAACTGGGGAAGAAGTGATTGGTTTGCTCACTGTAAAATAACTGAACTTCTGTATGTGAAAATGCCATAAATGGAATTCAAAGGCAGTGGCAAACTGAGAGAAATACTGTAATTCGCAAGCAGATTTACTTTTCTTGCTAAGGAAACATGAAAAAATTTTCAGCTCCACTTGCAGTCCTCCTAGAAATGCAGATCAATAAGATACTGGGTTTTTGTTTTTTGGTTTTTTTGTGGGGTTTTTGTTGTAGTTGTTTTAATTTTGGCGTTCATTAAAAAATCAGCCCCTTCTGGTGAGGGTGTGGAGAAATGAGATTTACCATTACTGGAAAGAGCATAATTTTGTATGATTTTTCTGAGAACCAGGTAACAAAGGCTTATAAAATATGCGGGCACTTTGGAATAGCCAGTCTACTTCTAAGGGTTTAGTCTAAGAAAACATAAAAAATGACAAGTAGATGAACATTCTATCATGGGTACTCTGTTTAACTAATGCCCTCTTACCGAGCATTCATTTTCCCTTTTTTTCCTAGTAAGGATGATGATTTCATCATTGTTTAGATACTGTGTAATGATTATTCAGTGAATAGTGAATGACAAAAACATGCTATACAACAACACATAATGTATAAGACTTTTTTTGGTGCGAGTAATTGCATTTTAAAAAGATAATAAACCAAAATGTTAATAGTGATTATCTGTGAGCAGTGGAATCATGGGTTGTTTTTAGTTTATTTTTTTCCTTCCAGTTTTTTTACAGTACATGTGTATTTATAATACAGCAGATTAGTT